GCTGAATATCTCAGGGAATGCCTCTTTCTACCCTCTGAGCATTTTGGCCATCTTCAGAGACTTGATTTTGTTTGTCCTCACCATGAAAAATTAGGTGAGTGACTTTTAAGGGAGACTTGCTTCCAGAATGCCCTTCTCAAAGGAATAGAATAAGAATAGAATAGAATAGAATAGAATAGAATAGAATAGAATAGAATAGAATAGAATAGAATAGAATAGAATAGAATAGAATTCTTTATTGGTCAAGTGTGATTGGACACAATGAATTTGTCTTGGTGCATACGCTCTCGGAGTATATAAAAGAAAAGATACATTCGTCAAGAATCATAAGGTATAACACAATGATAGTCATAGGGAAACAGTCAATATAAATCTTAAGGATACCAGCAACAAGGTTACAGTCATACAGTCATACGTGGGAGGAGATTAACAGTAATCAGATTTACTTCACGTTCCTTGTATTCCACAATCCCACCTACGGCGCCTTCTGCTGATTCAATCATTGCCAATTCCTCTTCCGTAAATTTCAATGGCACTACTGTAGCTTGGGTTTCCGTTTCCATTTCCACTTCCTTTTCTTTAAGAAATTCTTCATGGAAGGCTCTCGCTTTATCAGTTGTATCCAACCTATATCTTTGAAGTTGCCACGTTAAGATTAGCCCTTCTGGTATCATCCATCTATAGTTAATTCCTTTTTGGATTAATATTTTGGTCAAGAATTGGTATTCTCTTCTCATCTCTCTCTCTCTTCTTGGAATTTGTTTCAAAACCACCACTTCTTTCTCCTTGTATTTCAAGGCTTTTTCTCTCACCACCTGAAGAATTTGCGCTTTAATCGATTTCTTAGTAAATCTTATGTGTACTTGTCGTGGCAGCTTATTACGCATTGCATATCTAGGGTAGACTTGATATATCTCATCCACACCATCCATCATCTTCTCTTTGGTAATTTCTAGAGCATCAGCCAGCATCCCAATCATAATATCACCCAAATTTTCTTCCTTCTTCCACATTTTGAAATCTAAGGTAGAATTCTGCTTTATCCATTTCCCATCCAATTAAGCCATTCCATTCTCGTTCAACCTCTGCCAGTCTATTATCTATATCTTTCATTTTTTCCTCTTTTTGATCATCCTTTTTCTCTCATTTTTGCAACCTTTCTTCTTATTTTGACATTGTTTGTTGGATGCTGACCACTTTTTCATCTGTCTTAAGTAGTAGTTGTTCGGTCCTTTGGACTTTTTCATCTGTCTTAAATAGCTGTTGTTCCATCCTTTGGACTTTTTCATGTGTTTTAAGTAATTGTTGTTCCATCCTTTGGACTGTTCGGAGAATCATTTGTATTGATGTATCTTTGTCTTTTTCTCTTGTTGAAGCATCGCCTGGATGGTGCGTTTGCCTCCAGATGGAGATGAAGAAGGCGTGGTTGCAGCAGCTCCCACTGTCGCAACTTTTCTGCTCATTTTATTCAGTGGTCAGGCAAAGCCAAACCAAAAAATAATTTTAAAAATGCCAATTATAAAAAGGAAAAAAAATTAAAATAAAAGAACTCTTCAGGTTCTTCCAAACCCTAATCCATTAAGTGTAGATCAAAAGAGAAAAATAGAAGAGAAGAAAAAAAAGGGACAAGAAAAATATATATATATATATATATATAAAGAAAAAAAACAAGCCAGCCAAAAAAATTTTTAAAATATGGAAATATTAAAATCCAAATTCAAAAATCAACAATAAGTCTTCAGGCTCTTGAGTGCCTTAATCCAATTCAAATGTATAGAAATCTCAAAAAGAAGATAATCCATCAAACACATTTGTACCCAGAAAGCATACGGAAAGTTGTCTCTTAGCCAAACCACAAATAAGAAAAATGAAAGTAGCTGCCCAAAAAGAAAAAAAAAAATCCTTCTATAGTATTCCTAGACTCCTATTTCAGATAAGTCCAACAAGAACACCTGTGTAAACAATACAGATAGTTCCACTTCCTCAGATGTTCTCTTTACACCCTTATCAGTCTAGAACCGTGATGGCGAACCTATGGCACGCATGCCACAGGTGGCACGTGGAGCCATATCTGTGGGCACTCAAGTGTTGGCCTACTCACCTCCAGTTCATTTGCGTGCACCGGCCAGCTGATTTTCGGGTCTTCTGGGCCCACTGGAAGTCGGGAAATGGGCCGTTTCTGGCCTCCAGAGGGCCTTCTGGGGTTGGGGAAGGCCGTTTTCACCTTCCCGAGGCTCCTAGAAAGCCTCTGGAGCCTGGGGAGGGTGAAAAATGGGCCTACCAGGCCCACAGAGTCATTGCATGCCAAAAGTGGGGGGACCACAGGAGGGGTCATGTGGGCATGCGCGAGGGGGGGCACATTGAAGTATGGGTGTGGGCACACATGCATGACTGCCCTCCCACACTCCCCCTGCTTTTGGCACGTGACGGCAAAAAGGTTAGCCATCACTGGTCTAGAAGTTCAGAGTCTCTTTGTTATGGCTACAATGTATCTCTCAGCTTATTGCTTGTATAAACATAGCAACAAAGTTTCTTTTCCACCAGATGGCAGTACTGCTCACTCCTATCTTTCCTGCACTTTAAAATCCAGAACTACTTTGTTAAAAATTAATAAAACGTTACAAAAAAAAAAGAGGAAATAGAAAAAATCAAAGAATCAAACCAAAATCAAACAGTCATTTTTTTAAAAAGGCAGGTTCAAAGAATTACCAGTCTCTTTCAATCCAGTCCCAATCAATAGTAAAAATAACTGATTTTAAAATCCTTCAAATTAAATAGTTGGGTATTTTAAAAAAAACTATTCCAAGTTAAATTCGCCGCTTAATTTCTCTTACTCTTACTCTCCAAGTCTCTTAACTCTCAGGGTGTTCTTTGTATTAATTTAAAAAAAAGCTCTCTCACTGCATCAATATACTGTCATTCTTCTTTCTTCTTCCTGAAGCTGCCCCAGCCTCGGCAGCCGCAATGGCTGCTACCCCACTGCGAGAAAAAGGGCTTTCCTGGATCAACCAGGGACTTTGACTAGACAGTGGGGTCCAAAAAGGACCGTCCAGCAGAAAGGACCGTCCTGGAGCCCCAGAATCTCCTGTCCGTTTCGCCGCGATGTCAACTTCTGGAAAAAACTGTTCGTGTGTCTAGTTGTTCTGGTGTGCAGTGCTCTATAGCGTTGTTTTGAGGGTAGGAGTTGAAACAGTTTATGTTTTTTTTTTTAAATTATTTATTTATTTATTTATTTATTTTTATATGCCGCCCTTCTCCGGAGACTCAGGGCGGCTTACAATGCGTTAAGCAATAGCCTTCATACTTTTGTATATTTTATACAAAGTCAGCTTATTGCCCCCACAAACCGGGTCCTCATTTTACCTACCTTAGAAAGGATGGAAGGCTGAGTCGACCTTGAGCCTGGTGAGAATTGAACTCGCAGTAATTGCAGGCAGCTGGATGTTAAATGCTGCCTTAGTAGGAGGCATTAGCCTCCTACGCCACTCAGGCTCTTACAATGTTCAGGATGCGAGGGGTCTAAATATTTTCACAGCCCTCTTTTTGACTCGTGCAGTATACAGGTGCTGGGAAACTGCTTTTCTGTCTTTATAGAGGCAGAGTAAGATGTTCCTCTTCTCACACTCTACAATTTGCAATCAATTTGATTTAAAATATTTTCTTTATGCTGGGATAGTGATCTTGATAGGTGTTATTTTTTCCCTGTATATAGTTTGGTTCAATATCACAACAACTAGAAAAGTTATTACATTGATCATGATCTTTATTTACTTATTTACTGTACTTATTTAATTCAGTTTAGATGTTGCCCAAACTGACTCTGAGAGGCTCCCAAATAAACAATACAAATGCAATACAAATCAAAGCAAGGTGGGATCCAGTCACTTTATACATAAAAACTGAAATGAAAATAGACAAAAGGACATCTAACAAGGGCTCCATCGAACTTAACTCAAGGCCAGAGGGTGGGTGTGGCTAGCTGGTCATGTGACCGGTGGGCGTGACTACAGAGGGCTGAAAAAAGTCATTCCTTACTGGTCCTCGCACTTTTGACCGGTCCTCGCACTTATGACCATCCTCACATTTATGCCCGTTGCGGCATTCTTAACAACCGTGTCACTCATTTCACAACTGCTTCTCTTCACATGGTGACAAGATAGGGCAAAAACGTAAAATGTGAGGACAGTCGTAAGTTCGAGGGCTGGTCAAAAGTGCAAGGACCAGTCAAAAATAACTTTTTCAGCCCTCTGAGTAGTCCATATGCACAAAAGGATACCCAGAGGGCTGAAAAAAGTGATTTCTGACTGGTCCTCGCACTTTTGACTGGTCTTCGCACTTATGACTGGTCATCATTTATGCCCATTGTAGCATTCTTAACAACCGTGTCACTCATTTCACAACTGCTTCTCTTCACCATGGGTGACAAGATAGGGCAAAAACGTAAAATGTGAGGACAGTCGTAAGTTTGAGGACGGGTCAAAAGTGCGAGGACCAATCAGAAATAACTTTTTCAGCCCTTTGAGTAGTCCATATGCATAAAAGGATACAGCAATAGAGAGGGATGAAGGAAGGGAAGGGAAATTAGAGTAGGAGTGAGGGTAAGAGAGGGAGGAAGAGAGGAGGAGAAGGAGAAAGGAAGAGGAAGTAGGGAGGAGAAGAAGAAGGGGAGGAAGAGAAAGGAAGAAGGAAAGAAAAGAGAGAGGTGGTAGGTTTGAGGAGAAAGATTGCTGTACAATAAAAAAGATGAAAGGGAAGAAAGCCAACCCCAAACAAATATAAAGATATTAAGATAAAGAATGAATTGTTAAACTTTAAAGAATAAAAGAGAACAAATATGAATAAATAGCAATAATTAGAAACACACATACAAACATACAATGTATTTTCTTTGAACAGAATATTTGGCCGGTTCACAAATTTAAACAGTGTTTAGTCATTTCAATTAAATTTACAATTTCTATATTTCCTTTTTGCCATATTTATTCCTCATCTATTTTTGTAAAAAACCAATATTACCCTTCATCTTCATCTCTAATCTTAATCAAATTCAATTTTTCCCTTCTATTCTATATTATACCCCTTCCCAGAGAGCAGTTGGAGGGCTAGTCGTTCTGAATCCGACCGGACACTGGTAAGATCTCATATTAAGAATTACCTAGTGGCGATAAAAGTAGAGAAGAGTAACTACTTTTCTGCTCTTATTGCATCATCAGATAATCGCCCAGCCGCCCTGTTTAGGGTGACCCGCTCCCTGCTCCACCAGGGGGCGCGGGAGGACCCCTTGGAGGGTAGAGCTGAGGATTTTGTACAATATCTGTATGACAAAATCGCTCAGATTCGGGAACAGCTGGACTCTGACTGGGTAGATCCAGGGGAGATGACAGGGGCAGGTCCTGAGAATATTATATGGGAAGAGTTTGATCCTGTGACTCCCGAAAGCGTGGACAGGATACTGAGCAGACTGGGTGCGGCCACATGTTTATTGGACCCGTGTCCCTCCTGGTTGGTACTGGCCTCCCGGGAGGTGACGCGAGGCTGGCTCCAGGGGATTATAAATGCTTCTTTGAGTGAGGGTGTCTTTCCCACCGCCTTGAAAGAGGCGGTGGTGAGGCCCCTCCTCAAGAAGCCCTCCCTGGACCCGGCTGTGTTAGCAAATTATCGTCCTTTCACTTTGTTGCGAAGGTTGTTGAGAGTGTGGTTGCACGACAGCTGCCTCAGTACCTGGATGAATCGACTTATCTAGATCCGTTCCAGTCGGGCTTCAGGCCCAGGTACAGCACAGAGACGGCATTGGTCGCATTGGTTGATGATCTCTGGAGGGCTCGGGACAGGGGTTGCTCCTCTGTCCTGGTCCTATTAGACCTCTCAGCGGCTTTTGATACCATCGACCATGGTATCATGCTGCACCAGTTGGAAGGGTTGGGGGTGGGGGGCACTGTTTTACAGTGGTTCTCCTTTCTCTCTGACCGGTCACAGTCTGTGTTGACAGGGGGGCAGAGGTCGACCCCGAGGCCCCTTGTATGTGGGGTGCCGCAAGGATCGGTCCTCTCGCCCCTTCTGTTCAACATTTATGTGAAGCCGCTGGGTGAGATCATCCGTGGTTTTGGGGTGAAGTACCATCAGTACGCTGATGACACCCAGCTGTACATCTCCACCCCAGACCACCCCAATGATGCCCTTGAGGTGATGTCCCGGTGCCTGGAGGCCGTACGGATCTGGATGGGGAGGAACAGACTCAGGCTCAACCCATCCAAGACCGAGTGGCTGTCGTTTCCGATGTCCCGATATAGTCAGTTGGCGCCATCTCTGACTATTGGGGGCGAGTCGTTGGCCCCCACAGATGAGGTTCGCAACTTGGATGTCCTCCTGGACTCACGGCTGTCTTTAGAAGAGCATATGGCGGCCGTGGCCAGGAGGACTTTATCAGGTTCGCCTGATTCGCCAGTTGCGTCCCTTTCTGGATCGGGACTCGTTACGCACGGTCACTCACGCCCTTGTCACCTCACGCCTGGATTATTGCAATGCTCTCTACATGGGGCTCCCCTTGAGGAGCACCCGGAGGCTCCAATTGGTCCAGAATGCGGCCGCGCAGGTGGTGACGGGAGCGATGTGGCGCTCCCATGTGACCCCCCTCCTGCGCGAGCTGCACTGGCTCCCAGTGGTCTTCCGGGTGCACTTCAAGGTTTTGGTTACCACCTTTAGAGCGCTCCATGGCTCAGGACCAGGGTACTTACGAGACCACCTTCTGCCACCAGTAGCCTCTCACCGACCAGTTCACTCCCATAGAGAGGGGCTCCTCAGGGTGCCGTCGGCCAAACAATGTCAACTGGTGGCCCCCAGGGGGAGAGCCTTCTCTGTGGGGGCACCTGCCATCTGGAACGAGCTCCCCCCGGAGATACGGAGGATCCAAGACTTATGCATCTTCCGCCGCGCCCTAAAAACGTTTTTATTCCAACAGGCTGGTCTGGCCTAACTCTCCCTTTTAAATTGGTTTTTAAATTGGTTTTTAAATGTTTTTTAGATAAATTGGATGTTTTAATTTGTTTTTTGAGCCTAAATTATTTAATCTGTTTTTAATAGTTTTTTAACTTTTATATGTCTTTGTATTTTATTTTGGCTGTTCACCGCCGTGAGTCCTTCGGGAGTAGGGCGGTATACAAATATGATAAAATAAAATAAAAAATAAAATAAATAAATTGTCATCTATTTTTATATCTATCCTCACATTGGTTAATTATGTAATATTACATTGTTTAATATAAATTCAACATTTTAATATAAATCAATTAGTTATATAACTACCTTTTTTGTATATTAATCAATATGAACATGAATATTCCAATTATTTCCATGCAATCCAATTTCTTACAAATCAATTAATTATATTTACCAATAATAATAAACCAAATAATTTCCCCCATATATTCCTCCAAACCATAACTTAACCATTTCTGCTTTCAACACAATATACAATTAATAGTATCTCAATTATTACAATTCCCTATTTAAATAGAGCTTTTTTTCTTTTGTATTTTAAAATCTTGAACTCTCTTTTCCCCTAAATTTCCCATTGCACCTAGAAAAAAAGAAAAAGAAATCTCTCTCTGCCTCATTTTGCCACATTGCAACAACAGCAAAGCCAACAGCCTGCTTTACTTTCTGTTTTGTTTTTCAGCATATATAGGGGGAAAAAAATCAGCACTCTTTGCAAGCAAGCAGCAGAGCTGTGAGCAAAACAGCTGAGAGCAAATCAGCTGAGAGTCGGGAGGCCGATAGAATCAAGGGGCTAATTAGCCTATGCTGAAGCTCCGCGGGCCAATAAAATTACAAAAAAACACCAAACCCTTTGTTAAATTGCTGGCTCGCCCACCCCTCGCTCACCACTATTTATTGGCAATAAATAGTGGTGCGGAGGGGTGGGGCAAGGGGCGGGGCGAGCCAGCAATTTAACAAAGGGTTCGGCCGAACCCCCTAGAACCGGCAGAATCCCACCACTGGGCTAAGAGCAAGAAAATTGAAGAAAGAGACAGAAAGGCTAATTCAGATTGCACAAATCCAAAATTTAAGAACAAATGCATACAAAGTAGAACTGAGAAGACAGCAACAGATAGCAAATGCTGTCTCTGCAAAGAAGCTGAAGAAACAGTTAGACCACCTAGTTAGCTGCTGCAAAAAGATCTCACAGACTGACTACAAACAACAGCTTGGCAAAGTAGCAACAATGACGCATTGGGGAAATCTGCAAGGATATCATTTGTCTGAGAGCAAGAACTGTTGGAACTCTATGTACAATAGAGAAAGTAATAGAAAATGAAAAAGATAAAGTGCTCCGAGACTTTAGAATTCAAGCACACAAGTACTTGCCACATAACATCCCAGGTGTAACAACTGTCGATAAGAACAATTTTTAAAAAGTCTGGATAGTAGACATGGGCATCTGGAGACAACCAACATAAGAGGAAAAACTGGAGAAAATAACAAAATACAATCACCTGCAAATAGAAGTAGAATGTAAAATGCAGCTGTTAATGGAATTGGAATAAAATACAATTTAAAATGAAATTGGAATAAAATACAATTTAAAATGAAATTGGAATAAAATACAATTTAAAATGAGATTAAAATGAGATTGGAATAAAATAATAATTTAATATATGATAAATTATGATAAAATTATATTTTAGTGTCACCCCTACAATCTACCCCAATCACTCCCACATATGCCGATTTCTATCGAACCATTTTGTTCAAGTACCGTGCTGTATTAAATGTTGTTTTCAAATTCTGGCCACACATAAGATAAGTTGTTTTGATATGGGGTTCCCAATGGATCATTCGTTTAGTATATAGACTGAGGTACCTGTCTCTTACCCTCTTATACAGGCAAAAATCAAATAGGATGTAAATTCACCATCAATCAATTACAAAAGGCAGCTTTACTTGGAACATCTTAAATCCTGCGATGATACCTCTAACACCATCAAGCGTCCACATCTGCCTATCCCAAGTCCTTGGGAAGGACTCAATAGGGGATTAACAATGCCAAATCTGGTCTAAACATCTGGCCGACTGTGAGACAAACAATAAATACTGAAGGTGATTTGGATGGTGTTATTCTTTTTGTTTTCTCCTTTTCCCACTTCCAAACCTTCTTGGCAGAATAAAAGATTTTAATGTCTTAGAAACATGCGTATTTGTGTGTTGTCTAAATTGTCCTCAAAGCTATTACTCTGTGGTAGATTTTAATTCTAGCTAATATGACTTAACTTTACTCTTTGGAAAATAAAAATAATTCTGCATAAACAATTGGATGCAAACTGAATTTTTAATGATGGGAATTAAACATCAGTCATCAATCCCTTGCCCCGTTTTAATCTGCTATTTAAATGAGATGGATGATGACAAAATTAAGGGTTTGCCAATGTGGTCTGAAATTATTTTTGAAAAATAGTTTTAGTATCATTTAGGAGGTTGTCAATGTTTCTCAGGGCATGAATGTGAAATACCTAATTATGGTGGCATAAACATCAGGGATACCCAACCCCTAATGCACTATCGGGCCTTGAGCCCTTCAGAACCGGGCTGCAGAAGTAGGCAAGTGTGGGCACACAGTCACCCACTGCTCGTGCAGAACCATCCCCTCTCCCCCCACCCCCAGTCCAGAAAACTGGAAAGGTTGGGGAACTTTTGGTTTATGCAGTTACCTTTCTGTCTCAACTTATTTTTCTGTGTATAGGTTATGCTTATAATTTTTTTTAAAAGGATAAAGCCTTTCAACCTGCTGTACTGAATATATATTCTTCTGTTTATTCAGATTGATGAACCAGTAAAGTTTGTGAAGAAGGAAAAAAACCCACAATTCTGAAATAATTCTTAAAGATTATATTGTAGTTAATTTGACACTCCTGGATGAAAAATCCCTCTGAACATTTCTATTTTGGATAGAAAGCCCTTCACAAGTGCAGGCTCGGTGCAATTGCTGACTCACTGTCAATAAAAAATGGCCTTGCAGATGTCTAGTTATTAGACTATGATCCTTATTCCAGAACGGAATGAACCACTCAATATAAACAAAGTAACCCACACTGTTGAAGCCAACTGGGTCACAGTGGCATCATGAGATCAGAATACAGCCAAACTTCCACACCTGTTTCTTTTAAAGAATTGTAGTCCCTCCCAGAACAGAAACTCCTAATATTATTCCTATACCTTGCTAGGATCTGTCTTCCTAATGTGTCCCTCAACCCATCCTATTATTGATTCCGAGTACAGCTTTGCTGTCAAGACTCTTCTATAATTGTGGTAGGATATAAATTTGATTAACAAATATTTTGCCATTTGCATCTCCTTATAAGAATCAGCCAAAAATAAGGCATCAACCATCTTGATTCCAATGAAATATCTTCCAGCTTGTAAGGGAAATGCTGGAGGAATCTAAGAACCAGGTTGCATCTCCTTGAAGGATACAAGAATGTTTTCAAATCACTTAAGCCCCTTAGAAATATAAAAATTGTCCACTGATCTGTTGCTGTTGCAGAGGTCGGTTTTCTTTTTTAAAAAAATGTGCAACAGTATATTGAATTTTATTAATATGCTATTATATTCCTTATCAATTTAAGGAACATTCTGGGCTCTTATATGAAGCTTTAGAAGTATTTTCCCAGCAGCAACTCAAGAGTGCCTTTGGGAATTGCAATGTTATTGCCCTGGGGTCATTTTAGAATTTTCACATTAGTCCTGCTAGGGTCCCATTGGGATCAGTCAGGGCACTGTTGCAAGATTCGCTTTGATTGCATCTCCAGATCTTTTTGGAAATTGTACCCTCCAGTTAGAAGCAAACAGCATAACCCAAACTTGAAAGATGGCATATTTAACTTTCTGCAGGCAATAGATGGCTATAACATATACAGGACAAGGGTGGAATATTGGATTTAAGGAATTGTAACAATCCTGATAATGGGAGAGAGCATCTCTTTCTTCTAATTCCTCAAAAAGCAACTGAAGCTCCAAAGGAAATTCAGGAAATATAGCAGACAGAATTAGCAACACAAAAGCAGGGCAAAAAGATTTTTGAGCGGGGAAGGAGGAACAACTTCCAGAATATGCTATTTTCCTGCAATAGAGAAGTGTAGTCTGAAAACAGATGTTAATACAGTCCCTAGGGATGGAGGTGTAATTCTGCAAGAAAAATTAACAAGTTCCTTTACAAAAGGAAGACATCTAAGTCAATTTAGCAGCTATACATGTTTCTCAAGGGAGCATTAATGGAAGGGGGGGAGGACTAAAGAGACCACACTCCTCATAGGTTACATAATCTGTCTCCCTACTGGTTAGCAATGAAGTTTCTTAAGAGGGAGAAATTGGAGCTGGATCCAGCTCAGTAATGTGGCTGTGGAAACCTTGTCATAAGGTGATCTACCTAGATAATCAGAAAAAATGATGTATCTTATATCTTCAAACTATGCCAAACCTTGTCCAGAATAGTACAGTCACAAAAAAACCATGGTAGAATATAGGGGGGGGGGGAAATCTCTATATATAAAAATGGCTCTGCACTTGTGTATGTTCCAGCAAAACTCTGGAACGCCTCGAGCAATTTCAACCAAACTTGGTACACAGATGACTTACTCTCTGGAAAGAAATACTGTGGGGGTAAGACACACCTAACATCCCTCAAGTGCTATACAGTAGAAGCCTCAAGGGTGGTGTTCTGTTAAGATGCAGCCTGTTGTGCCTTAAAATGGCTTCTACTGTATAGCACAGGAGAGTTGTAATGGCATCACAGTACTCCACAAGGGGGCTCCCTCTGGTAAGGGGGAAAATCCAACATTAGAAATTATGTTTGGTCTGGATATTTTCAACAAGGCTGATTATTCTTGAGGACAAATGCATGGCCATGATCAATAAAACATTACTGCAACTCAGCCTGCCTGCACCACTATGAGACCAACACAACATACTTCACACAAATTACATACGAGAAAAGAACTTCGAACAGCTTAGTGCCTATATCATGGACAAGAAGACACTTCTAAATCAAGATCAGGAAAAAGCATACCAAATGTTCATGGATCAGCTAGTAAAACAACAAGATGGTATCATTTTACTTGACACTTCTGGGGGCACAGGGAAAACATTTTTAACTAATTTAATTCTCACCGAAATCAGGGCCCAGGGTGAAGTTGCTCTTCCTGTCTAATACAGTTTTGGGATAAATAAATACCTGGGCAAGCCGGGTTATTGGGTAGTATTTAATAAAAAAATTAAAGGACACCCAAACAACTACATAATTACCATAATAAAAGAGCCATTTCTGAAGATAGTAAACCAGCAAAGAGACTGGGCTATATAGGTTACATATACAGGCACACAATAACTGGGGAGTCTCTCAGTCTAGATAAAGTGTTGAATAAAGAGATTTTGCCCAGGAACTGAACATTAAACAAACTTGAGGGTGGGTCAAATCTGCAGACCAGAAAAAGGAATGCGCAATTCTTTTTCATTCCCAAACATCGACTTTTTAACTCTTACCCACCAGTAAGAGTTTCTCCTAAAGAAAAGAAGCACTGTTACAACACAGTTAAGCATGAACTCTCTCATGGAGGAGTGGAAGAGGCTTTCTGAATACAGAAAGGAAAGCTGGACTCCCGAGGCCTCAGGTGTGATTGTCAACTGGATCTGGCAAAATGTATATTCTCATTCACTAGGTTGTAGCAGTTCAGTAATGCTCTGAACCAATATGTTTACAAAGAGAATTGAAAGAACTGCCTAGCGTAGATAACTCCAGATGCCATTCCCTTGTGAGAGGGACGATTCTAAATTGAAAACAACCTCTGACTGAGATGTTCAGAGGCTGGAATAAAAACTGCCTCAAAGAAAAAAGACTGAACTTTTGAGTCCAGGAGACTAAGACGACTTTAGACAAAGGTCAAGTAAACTTGCTGTAAGGTGGTAACTATCTGAATAACTGGAAGCACAGAGCCCAACAAAACATCACCGTATTGGTAGAAAGATATATATTGGCTTGCTGTGTCAGAATTGTAGGAAGCCTGAAGAAGAAAGTGGAAGGCACAGGTTGAAAGTAATGTAATTTAACAGAGACAGGTGGATTTAAACAAAAATCAAATGCACTGGTACGCCCTAATAATGGCATTGTACAGGCTGGATAAAAATAGATTTTAAAAAAATATTTTTAAAAAAATTGGATTTTTTTTTATTTTTATCAAATTTATTTTAATAAAATGCTTTTGGAGTAAAAAATATCTAAAGATAATTTTCTATTTAAGATACATTAATAATTTAGTTTATTCAGTATGAAATGGAGCTTATTTATGTAGCATCAAGCTGTATATTCTGCAATATTGGGACTGTCGATGAGTCAACAGCGGGTCAGAGGAGGAGCTGCTGCAGGACAGAGATAACAGTTGCTCTTTAAAAATTATAATTTAAATCAACTTGATTTAAATCAAATCCATCCTGGCACTGTGTAATAGATCTTGGAATAGTAGTTGATTGGGAACTGAGATTTTTTTTTAAAAAATTTGATTTATATGCCGCTCTTCTCCGGAGACTCAGGGCGGCTTACAATGTGCTAAGCAATAGCCTTCATCCTTTTGTATATTTTATACAAAGTCAGCTTATTGCCCCCACAACTGGGTCCTCAATTTACCTACCTTAGAAAGGATGGAAAGCTGAGTCAATCTTGAGCCTGGCGAGATTCGAACCTGCAGTAATTGCAGGCAGCTGGTCTTAATAACAGGGTACTTTAGACCACTGTACTACCAAGGCTCAAGATTGAGCCAGTAATATGATGTGATTGCAAAAAGATGAATCCAATAGTTTATAACCTTCAAATTGTAAATGTAGCTGGTCAGACTGATTAGCATATCCAATGACACATCGTCTTGTAACATCATAGTCTTTATTTCCACATAGCAAGCAGAAATTCTGGACATTTTCTTATTTAACAATGCTTTATATCAGTTCTACAAATGGAGGCAGGACTAAAGTATCTTGGTCTTCACTAGATTAGACCAACCTTCACAAAAGGTTTAACCTTTTCTTTATTTCCTTGGCTTTTCAATCAGCAAAGAAACAACGAAAAGAGAAAGTTGCCTCCTGCAAAATCCCCTCTCATACATAAGAGTATGAGAAGAAAAACATGGTTTTCTAAAGAAATGTTCTTCTCAGGAGGCAAGTCTGCAACTTCTATATCATCAATACAGCAGAGGCCAAGTACTTGCCCAGCAATAAGTACTTGAAACAACCTGAGCATTTTCTTCCTAGTAGGATAGATGGCAGACTTTGCTTTCCTCATAAACGTTAGCTGCCAAGAGCCAAAGCAGGGACATGAATGGGTCCTTATTGCTGGATATTGAAGATTTTGGTCAACAGAGATTTGTTTGACTGGGATTTCTGCTGGATCTCAGCAGACCGGGCTAGCTGTTGCTTGAGCCGTTTCTTTCCTTTGCTTGTCTGAATTTCATCCTCAGTAGAGCGCTGCACGAAGCCCCAGCTCTTCTCAGCATGTTCTTTCTGATTGTCCTTCTTCAAAAAGTGCTTGCTCTTCTCCACATTCTGCAGGTAGAAATTAGTCTCTCGTTTGGCCTGAGAAACTTCAGCACGCATGCGCTGCTGCCGCACTTGCCTTTCATATGCAAGCTGCTCGCTCAAGTGAGTCCATTTGAAGCGATTCAAATACTAAGAAAAATATGAAAACTAGTAAGTTTATCATATCAGCATATAACAACTCATGGTTGAGAAGATCTAACCTTAGTTTAAATACTTTCCACATTGTCTGAACCTATTCTACGCCCACCTTAATCTATGGGCTGGAACAATTTGGCCTCCTTAGAATTGGCTAAAATCTGTAATAAAGAATCTGGTAGTAGAAGTTCAATGACAAATGTGGGGCCAGTCACAACCCTGTCTAACCAGAATAGCTTTCTGCAAGCACTTGTCTTGATACGAGTCTGAGTTATCCATCACATTCCCAGAGAACAGAGAGAGAAAA